GCCCCATCATTGGAAATAATGACTCAAATCTTTCAAAAACTAGGGAAACAGAAGCACACTGCAATAGTTAATTTTATTTGTTCAAGACCTCACACTGCAAGCATTAATCCAAGCCTGGGCTTTGATTCTGTGGGCTCCTATCAGATATTAAGGAAGAAGCAAGCTGTGACCCGTGGATATGGAGGAAGGCGAAAGCTCAGGATTAGTCACAGAGTAGTTTCTACACTTCTACAGCCTAGAACACAGTAGTCACAGGTCCTTTAGGTCCTTCTGGATGTCCCACAGGGTATCCGCACTGTTCTTGAGCTGAGCGACCTCTTCATCCTTCAGCTTCTGGTTGATAACGCTGGTCAAGCCCCGAGCATTCAGGATGCAGGGAAGGCTCAGGAAGACTTCATTCTCAATGCCATACATGCCCTGCAGGAGCGGCAAAGGCATTTAGAGCAAGACCTGGAGCCCTCCCTAAGAGTGAGCCCAGCAGCTAGAACAGAAAGACTCAGGGAATTTGATAAGCATACACGCTTGCTCTAACCAGCTTCTCAGTCCTTACAACTCTCTATCTCCCCCATAACTTATGTTTTAGAGTAAATTTTATACATGGAATACACAACATGTATCATAATAAAAATTTTAACAATTGTAAGAATAAGGCTTATAATGAATTATTCTGAATGTTTTAGTGAATAATCCTCTCTGCTTGGATAGATCCATTTTAAAAAAAATTGGACAGAGGAATCTACAAATTAAATCACTTTCACAAGTGACTCATACCATCCATGAAAATTTCAAGGGAATTTAACAGATGGTACTGTTTACTAGGTAACAAGATTAGCAGATTATGACCAACCTAAGAGATCTTTTTTTTTTTTTTCTAAGAGATACTAAGTAATAACTGGAAACTACTAATATGAAAGATTTAAGATGAAAATATCAGTTTCCAAAATACTTTTCCAGTTTGTATAAGGTAATTTATTCACAAGCTTTCTAACAGATTATTCTGTTAGTATTGTTTTGTTTTGTTTTTGGTGCTGAGGACTGAACCTAGGGCTTCCAGCTTGCT